GCTACAAGACTACTTCGACTTGTACGTAAAAAAAAATTGCCTACGACAAATCTATTCAAATGTCAGTTTGACGCAATTATTGGCGCGTTTATTCGAATACGGACAATGCAGGGCAAATAAAAATCTTTTCACCTACTCAAAGGATAGTGATGTAGATATGTTATTTGATACTATCGTAATTTTATTTAAATAAATTTGATTTTTAAGAAGGTTGATTATCTCCTCGCGACGATACTAATAAGGTGAACGAAGTAATAGAACGATGACATCACACCCGGAGAACTTGTAAAAGCACCTTAAGCGTGGGAAAGTCTATTTATAGAAGCGGAGAGTTGCGCTTGCGTCCCTCAAATCATATAACCTATTCAAACATCAACGTTAAAACATGGTTTGAATAATGAATCCAGTGTTCACAAGCTATTTGGCATTGATTTTTACGACAACATCGAAGTCTAACGGTCATTGTACCCACGTGTCCTCCCGCGCTTTTTTTATTTAATTCCCAGTCATACAAAATCCCTTGGTACAAAGTTTAATTCCATTTTGGCGTCTCTGAATTATTTTATATTGCAATATCATACATGAACATGATGTTTGGACTCTTTGTTATCTGTATGTGTCACGTAATTTTAAATTTCGAATGCGTTCGCAATGTTGCAGACCACTGGCCGGGTCCGAGCGTGGCAGTGATGCGATGTGACAATCCGACAATGGGTGTGTTAAGTCACCGTTCCCCGAATAGAGGTGTAGAGGGTGCGGGCGCGGGCGCAGGCGCGGGCCGGGCGCATGACCCCGCGCCGCACCGCGCACGTAATGTCGCGTTATTGTAATGCGTTGCGCAACACAACCCCGTCCCCTGCCGTCCCGCGCCGCTCGTCCTCCATCGCGCTCCCCCGCGCACTTCGCCGTAGCCTCGCTGTCTAACACTGAATGTGCCTGTTCGAATTGTCCGAGTTCAAGGAACAGGCCAGTACTCTTTGATTATTGATTAGTCTATCGATTTCCTTTCGTATGTTCATTTATTTTATTACAGTCGGCATCACGTGTAGAGTTTTGTCTTCAGCTAAATGTTTTGTTGTAGATGTTAGTTGTATTTCAAAAGAATGTAAAAATCAAACTGGCGTGCATAACTCAATGCTCTAAATGTAGAGAACACAATTTTATAAGGACGCAAATGACCATAGAGCTTAGAAAGTACCAGTAGTAGCCGAGGAAACCGTATTTACGATTTAGTCATTGAACATAGAGGTCATTGAAACCTTTGAGGGTTAAGTGGTACTAGCGGTGGTACTGGGCTCGGTTGCAGCGTTCTATGGAATGCTTTTGACTTGGTTACTGACGTAATACGTAAATATTTTTCTTGTCTGATTTATTTTACTGATGTTAGGCATGTATTAGCGCTTCTTGACAATGTAATCGAATGCTTGACGTGATAGCAAACGGTGGGTTGGAAGGCTTAACACCCTATCCGAAAAGCAGTAGACGAAAACAACGAGATATTTAGATTGCCATTGCCCATTGTTGTCTATACTAATATTATTAAGATGAAAGATTTGTATTTTTGTATGTATTAAAATAACTCAAAAACATTGGGTCGAATTAAAAAAGTTCTTTCACCATGACAAAGGTACGTTGTAAGTGAGTAACATAGGCTATATTTTTTTTTCTACCTTAGACGACGTTACGAGTTGTTGCTTGTCTTTCATAATTCCTTTATCTTATTTTTCGTTGTTCAACTTATCGGACTATTTTTTTGGTAAGAAAGAAAAAAAATCTTTACTTCACTAGTTATTTTAAGATAAACATCAATACAATCTGTACGTTGGAACGCATGTAGGCATGTCGTACATAGCTCTCAGTTTTACGGAAAACTATAAAATGCATACACGGACGTTTTCCTAGAGCGAGCGGCCGCCGCGGGGCCAGCGCGGGGGATTGCAGGGGCCGGGGAGGAGCGCGGGGCCAGTCGACACACTTTCTGAAGGGCTCTAAAACTCCGTCTTTTGTGGGCACCTTTATGAGCCATCTATTCGTGGGCCTTTGATTTATCACGAACAGTTAAGACCAGTATTTTTTAGCTCCAACCCGTCTTGTTAATACCCGTGTAATGAATAAAATAATCATTACGTTTGCCAGTTTCCGTTGCTATTTGTTTAAAATATGGCGGCATTTTTCACGAAAGTTGTCTTTTAAATCGAGAATAGGTTAATGTCGTTCTACGGTAACGCCATCTGGTTAAGTGTAGGGACGAGCGTGAATGCAACGACTTGCATTTTAGTTATTCATGTATTGAATAGAAACATAGAAGAGATTGAAATGTAGGCAAGTGTTGCTGTATTTGTCATGGATACGTACTGCTCTGCTTGTGCATAACATCCGAGATTTGATTCTGATGACCACGATAACACTCATCTTGGGACTTTAGGACGTGCTTTACAGACTACAGTTTGCAATTACATCTATACTTCTATCTATCTCTCTCTCTCTCTTCCATTCCTATGTCCCCAAAGTGGGGCAGAGGACGTCCACAGTACGCCGCCAGCTCGCTCTGTCTATACTTCTATATCTATATTCTACTATGCTCTATACTTCTATACTATTATAATAAAGCGTAAACACACACTTTGTTGCCTAAGATTTCAGCAATTACAACATATTTTTCAATAATTATTTTTTTAATAAAAAGGCCTACACTTACGTCACACTTTAGGCTATATATTTTCACGCTATTAAACCGAGGAGGTAAATATTTTGGATAAAAACCCTAATGTGGGAAAGAGACCATAAGTTGCTGCCAACATCAAGGAAGCAAGATTGCCAAGGTTTGTCATGTCATTTTGATGTTTGCTGTTGATAATTTGACAAATGTAAGCAATATATTAGTAACATTTTCTTAATTTCATGCGGATGGAGCCGCACGGGAAGAGCTAGTTTATAATAAAAACATGTCTAAGA